GGAGAGAAAGAAGCGATGATGATGTGTGAGTGTATTTTGTCAAAAGAGCCACAACACTTGCGCCTGAGCTTTCTAAAGGGACAAGGCCAGTGTCGTACGCTGCCATCTCGCTCTATGGCTTGACAAGTGGTCCGAGCACGATCCTCTCTCAGATGCGAGCCTTGATACGGGCGACGACCTAGCTGGAAGTCATCTGCAGCTTGCCACCGGCAGCGCCGCCAGAGTTGGAAGAACGACGAGAGCCAGGGGCAGAGGTTCCTGCGGGGCCCAGCTTGCCCATCTTCATACCCTCGTCCAGGTTGTTCAAGATGGCCATGTCATCCTCGTCAAGGGTAAAGTCGAAGAGCTCGGCGTTCGCCTCGATACGAGATTGGGTCAAAGACTTGGGCAAGATGATGTTGCCAATTTGCAGACCCCAACGCAACAAGACTGCAAAGAGTCAATGCGAGATGCAAATTGATCAGTCTTGAGCGCTACACGGTGGCGTCGGAGCTTCACACCGATGAACCCAAAAGAGGTGCTTTGCCAGGCGCCTCACGCTTCTACTCACCTTGAGCGGGGGACTTGCCGTGCTTGGTTGCAATCGCCTTGATCTCCTCGCGCTCGAGAGCAGCGCCCTGTGCCATGGGAGAGTAAGCCTGAACGTGAATACCACGAGCGATGGTGGCCTCGCGGAGCTCCTCGTGTTGGAAGAAGGGGTGAGACTCGATCTGGTTCACGGCAGGCTTGATGCGGGCAACAGCCAAGAGGTGGTCGAGCTCCTCGACGTCGAAGTTGGACACACCAATAGACTTGATCTTTCCGGCATCGACGGCAGCCTCGAGATCTTTCCAGGCCTTGAGACGGGCGTCAGGGCCAAGGTTTCCGGGAGAGTGAATGAGGTACAGGTCAATGTAATCGAGCTGCAGCTTCTTGAGGGAGTCGTCAATGGCCTCAGCTGCGCGCTCGTGGTCAGCGTCCCATAGCTTAGAGGTGATGAAGAGCTCCTCGCGCTTAACGCCGCTCTTCTCAACAAACTCCTTGATGGCACGGCCGACAGCCTCCTCGTTCATGTATCGTGCAGCTGTAGGGAAAACACAGAAGCATATCAGATGAGTTGGCCCCACAACCCTGATTCGCAAAGCGTCTCAATGATCTCGCAAGATCGCTTTGCTGCGGATCTCTCGCTTGCCCCGCAAGTCAGCTCTGATGCACTCACCAGAGTCGACGTGGCGGTAACCAGCCTCGAAAGCCCACTTGACAGCGTCCTCGGCTGATAGGGGAGAAGAGTGACGAGCCAAAGTCAACATGAGCCAGAACTGGCACCCGGTCGCTGCTCAACACTCACTGGTTCCGTCATTGGGGGCTTTGTAGACACCAAGCGCGACTTGGGGAATGTAGTGACCACTGCAGGTCATGTCCAAATAGCAGATGAGAAGTGCGCACAAACAAGATCAAGAAAGGCAGAAATGGTCAGCGCCCCTGAAGTGCATCCCCTTTTGCAGTACTCTTGCCTCCTTCTCTCTCGGATCTCCGCCATTCGCCCGCACACGCACCTGTTCAGCTTGA